GATGAGGGCTCCCCTCAGCCTCCTCTGCTCCAGGCTGAACCCCCCCAGCTCCCTCAGCTGCTCCTCGTAGGACTTGTGCTCCAGACCCCTCACCACAGCATACTGCAAACCCAACCTTTTTTTCCCATGACTTTTGAAGAAGCAGTCAGTGTCGGTGCAAGCACGATTCAGATGAAAGCCCATGACTTTTCTTGCCAAAAACGAGCCTGAAGTTGGTTACAGACAGATTAAGCAGAGACTCAGTGAACAGAAAGCATGATCAAAGCACCATCACTTGGCTTAGAATCTGCCACAGTTGGGGAAAAAGGAGGTAATACAGAAGTAGAGAAAATAACAGCAGTCAAGGATATTCCTGCAGAGGCATTCGATGACACAGCAGCAGAAGGGAAGCAACGTCTCAGCTGAGACCGAGCCATTTCTATGATACACTTCACCACAGAGAAACATGGGAGGTAATGCTGACACTGGAAGTAATTTGAGGGAAGAGGCCTTTCAAGTCTGTTGACACAGTGAACAAACTTTATGGCATCCAGAGTCGGAAAGGAACAGAAAATTACCGTGTCTGACCGTAGGCTGTATGACAGGCCATGCCTTGCCTTGAGAAGCTAGAATGAGTTCCTCCCTTGGGCTAGACAAAGCATTCCCAAAACAAGAGTAAGCTGTTTGATACAACAGGTAAAGGACACAGATGTCACCAAAGGCCAGAACTGATCAGACAAGAGGTTCCTATCATTTCAACAAGCAAATGGAGATGTAGACCATAGATATTTAGAAGAAAGAGGATGAGCAGTTACAAACATCTATTGACATGAGATTACAAGAGCACCAGCCCCCCTGCTAATGTATTACACTGCATCAGGTAGAAGCTGTAGACATCATCATCATCGTCAGATTCTTCACAGATCAGCCTGGAGCTGGTAAAGAAGCTCCTGCCCCCACAACCAATATTCAATAATCAATAATCAGCCATGCACATACTCTCTTTATACTGTTGACCAAACACAAACCACGGGGACAACACTAATACTATAGAGATGATCGCCTCTTGTTCCCCTTCTGCTACGCTCCACTACTTGGTTATTATTTGGCTCACAGTTTACTCACGTGCTACGATTGCTTGGAGGAAGGAAACATTCTGAATAACTTCACACAATTTATATGATGCAGAGTAACGTGGGATCCTAGCATCATACCTTAAAGAAGGGTCTCAGAGCGGAGCCAACTTGATTCTGAACATCCCATGACGGCTCCGAGCTGTAGCTCCAGACTGCACACGCAGTGTTAGAGAACTGTACCCCGTGCTTAGTGCCGTGCTGCTGGCACAGGGAGTCCCTCTTTCATCAATACATTCGCATATTTGGACTCAGAAGCAAAGCACAACTCTGGTCACGCAATGCTCATCAGAACACAGTACAAGCAGCTTTCCTTTCACAGGTGCCTAGCGGTACAAGACAGATCTCTGCAGCTCTGCTCCCAGAATTTCAGGTTATTTTTCCCCTTTGTTGTTTAATATCAGAGTTCTGCTAACCAGCAGGAAGTTAAACAGTAAGGGATTGATGCTCCCTGATACAAGAACATTTCTAACAAGTCATAAAAGCATGCAGTACAGATCCAGAAATCAACTGGAGCATCCGGGAAAACACATTCCCATAGTTCAGGAGAGTCAGTTGGAGACATCAGGAGTTTTACCCCAGGGCGCTTAAGCGGCTGAAAGCCTTTAAGCAGGGGTTGCAGGTCACAGCTCTGTTGTGAAACATAATGTTGCTGTCTCCCATTCTACCCAGAAATCATGCAACTCATTCTGCAGGAGAATGGGCCTGAAATTTTGGAATCACATTCTTACCCCAGGCCACTTCTTGGTTTTGCTTTCACTAACACAGATACACAAGTGTACTACAATAAACCCCTCCAATTTCTTCTCACAGAGGAAAAGAAATTCCAGCATGAGAGTGCTGATGTGCAGCTACTGCGTTCTGGAAGGCGTTCGCAGCACAGTGAGGATAACCATATAAGAACCTGGAAACAGAAATTGTTTATTTCAGAATAAGAAGAATATTTCTCCATATTCTAGGGGAAAAATCCTTCAATTTTTAGAACATACCCTCCAAGAGGGGACAGACTGGTTTCTTTCTGAGGTGGAGCCAATGGTCAGCTCCTAACACAACCCGAGTTGGCCTAACTTGTCCACACAAAGACAGAAAGGCCAGTGCAAAACTGGGATGCAGGGGAGCATTTGCTAAAACGGATTTTCAGTTTTCACTACAAGGAAGAGCCCTGTAGGTAAAACTGATGAGCATTTCCCACACTACTCAGCACAGGGGCAGAGAAAAGTGTTGCCAAAAGCCAGGGGTTCAACAGGTGATCAGTGGCTTCTCCTCATTCTGGAAAATGGGAACAGAAAATGGGAAGAAATTTATACTAAGATAGAGAACTTTTTAAAGTAAATGTTAAAGTCGGAAGTGAGAGAAGGAAGGAAACTGGAGACACAGGGACTGGCAAATGCAGTTCTTTAGGACGATAATCTCTGATGAGTCTTGGTGCTACACTGGCCATGCACGGATAGAATCACAGAATCGTTTGGGTTGGCAAAGCCCTTTAAGCTCCCCCAGCCCAACCCCTCCCCTACCCCTGCCATCCCACCCCCAAACCCTGGCCCTCAGCACCGCCTCTGCCCGGCTGTTAAATCCCCCCAGGGCTGGGGACTCG